GCTTTGCAGTCTGGCGCATTAAATAGCCTTCATTAAAACAAGAAGGAGGTCTGGGTATGTTCATGGGACTTAGAAATGGTTATTTTCAGATTGCACAGACGTGGTAATCAGATGATTCTTTTCTATAAACTGATAAATAGGCAATTTGAGGATCTATTTGTACATTTATTAATTGTCAAAGAAACTACCAAGGTATTCTTTCATGAGCTTAGATGAGAGGTTTTTTTAATGTAAGTCCAAAGCTGTAAGACCTTTGACTTTTGTAAGTTAATAAACAAACAAGGTGTGTTTAACTGCAGCTCCTAATTGGAGCAATACAACCCGACTCACTTGCCAGTAACATTGGTGATTTTTCTCAACTGTGATCATGGCTAATAAATAAGCTTAAATAAATAACTCTTCATTTTAAAGTTTACCTCAATTGTAAATTAGCTGTTTATTTTTGCCTACAAAATAGTATTGAGCAAGTGAACAATCTGCGAGAAATACAAGCCCTGAGACGTCTGAACCCACATCCAAATATCCTTGCCTTGCATGAAGTTATTTTGTAAGTATATGTGGGGCTTTAAAGCTTATCTCCATTTGATGACGATGCTTATATCTCTATTTTAAAGAAAGAAAACCACAGTAGAGGTTTTTTTAAATGTTTGCTTTGTAGCCCAGAGAGTATCTTTTTATTGCATTTTTTGTTGGTCTGATTTGTGGTGTGGAAATCAGGGCCCTGAGGTGTAGGTGGCTTCGTAGCATCCATCTCCCCAGTGGTGTGATTACGTCCTCATGGATGGAGACTTCTGAGTTCCAAGGCGTGGGGTCTGAGTCCGACCTAGTGGGGAAGAACTAGCAGGAGAATTTCTTAAGAGATGGTGTCACTTCATCCCGCCCCCAGTTGCCACATCCACGGTCTTCTGTAGGCCTTCTCACTGTACCTGGTGTCACTTTCTTTTCTGATTACGGGATGGTTTCTCTAGGCTTGCCTACTGCCCGATGAGACAGAGCCCAGCCTCTCCGGCAGTGCTCCCTGACAGCCGCACTGCACTCTGGACCTTAGCTAGGGGTGGAGGAGCTCATGGTTCTGGGATGCTGTGAAGGAAAGTCTCGCAGCAGCTCTGAAGGAAGCCTGGCCTACAAGGCAGCAACTGAATTGTGTTGTTGTTGTTAGGTGCCGTTGAGTTGAGTCAGTTATGACCCCTAGCGGCCCAACGCAGAACACATAACAGATCAAAACACCGCCCAATGCTGCGCCCTCCTCACAACTGTTGTGATGTTTGAGCCCATTGATGCTGCCACTGTGTCAGTCCATCTCCTTGAGGTTCTTCCTCTTTTCCTCTGACCCCCCCGCCCCCCACACTTTATCAAACATGGTGACCTTCTGCAGGGACTCCTGCTTCTTAACCACGTGTCCAAAATCCGAGACATGAAGTTTCACCGTCTTCTTTTCTAAGGAACATCTGGCTGCTATTCTTCTAAAGGAAGTCTAGTCTCTGACAAATGTGTTGAAAAGAGGATTAAACATTTAAAATTTAAAATTCCAAGTGAGATGTCTGACCATAGCTGAGTGGCATTCTGGCCGGCAGTGTTCTTATAATTCCAGTCAGGCCCAGGCGAGGGGTTCCAGTTTGTAAATAGTGGTGACAGCGACGCTTGTCTCCGAGGGGACTCCTAACAGCCCAAAAGACAGTGGGACCTTGAGGGGCTAGAAAGCACCCAGAACAGGGTCTGGGGAAGACATGAGGTCGATCCCCAGAATCCTCAATCCCCAGAATCCTCAATCCCCAGAATCCTCGATCACCAGAATCCTCGATCCCCAGAATCCTCAATCCCCAGAATCCTCGAAGGCTCCTCTGAATCAGGAGAGTGGGGCACAGACATCTCCCCATGTGGTGGGGCTCCTCCTTTTCTCCTTTTCCTCAGACTGATTTTCATTTTTTGCTCACCACATTGTATATTGGTCCCAGTTACATGTGAGTAATTAAAAAACTAAATTTACAGCCTCAGAGAATGAATTTAGGATACTTTTTATTGTTTTGCTTAATCAGTTTTCCAACCTAATATCCTACTGATAGTTTTATATTTTCAAGACACAGCTCTTTAAAAAAATAAAGCCTTTAGAACTTTTGCTTCAAGTCAGTAGAAAAACACTCTTATTTTAAGATTAATTTGACCTTAAATATTGATTTAAAATCAAACCTTTTCATCATTCTGATCACTACACTGCTCTCTTTATCTGATGTGGGAATGCCTTATGTTTATCAAAAATTTTTAGAAATGAATAAATATTTGATTGTGTTTTTTGATTAAGACAAGGAACAAAATTAAAAACCTGCTTTCTTCTTCAGTGACAGAAAATCTGGTTCTCTTGCACTAATATGTGAACTTATGGACATGAATATTTATGAGCTAATACAAGGTATGTAGAAGAATTTAAAAACAAATCTACTTTAGACCCAGAGAGGGAGAGGGGCTGTGTGCTGATGACTGGGGGGGGCAGGCTTGCAGGGTATACCCTTTGGTTGGTTGATGACTTATGGAGTCATGGCAACGAAATTATATATATATATACACGATAGGATGAATTTAAACCTAATGTTCTCCCATGTAAACTATCACATAATTGACAATAAAACATTAAAAAAAAAAACACTAATCTACAATTCATTTTTAAAGCTTGTAGTTCACACATGTTCAGTTTTAGGTCTTAAAATTATTTCTCAGCATAGCAAGGTAGTTATAGAAAAGTGTGCAGCCAGGACGACTGAACTCTGGGGAGGAATTTTCTGTCAGTCTCATGAATTCAGAATATGGCTGCAGAGGAGAAGTGAAGTCACAGGCCTTCATGCTGTCGGTGTGAGGGGCTGAGGGGACACTGAGGGAGACCATGGTGTGAAGAGGCCAAAGGAGCCACTGAGGGAGGCCATGAGCCATGGGTGTGAGTGGGGTGCTGAGGGAGGCTGTAAGTATGAGGGTCAGAGGTGGTGCTGAGGGTGGGTGTGGGGGTTAGAGGGGGTGCTGAGGGATGCTATGGGTGTGGGGGTTGGAGGGGGTGCTGAGGGAGGCTATGGGTGTGGGGGTTGGAGGGGGTGCTGAGGGAGGCTATGGGTGTGTGGGTCGGAGGGGG